TCCCATAGTTGAGAGACTCTCAATCTTCCAAATCTCTTTATCATTTATGGTTTGGAACGTGCATAACGGAGTTCCACATCGGATGAGTAGCTTCTATTGGACCTGACCATCCCATAGGTAACAATCATAAAAACTAGGCTAAAAAAAATAAATAATGACCCAGGGCCAACTTACCACTGATCAAAGATGAAACTATTTGAGCTTCTTCAATAATGACAATAAAGGCCATCCAGACCCATCAAATGTGTTCAAATGCATGATTTGTCACTTTCTGACATCCAGGAAATACACAGTATTAAGCATTCATCTTCTCTTTCCTGAAAGAACCAGACCATTGGGTAGCCAAATAATGGATAAGGAGAGTACATATTCATTAATGCATTTAATATAAAAACATAAAAGGTTATGGAATTAAGACATACATGCATGTACACACACATATATATGATTTTAGGAAAAAGGAATGCTTAATGTCTCTCTTTTTATACGCACACGCACAGACGCTTACTGCCTACTATATAGATAGACATTAAGCATTCATATTTGCTGATGTCATTTTAAAAAAAAAGCCCCAGAAAAACAGAGCCTCTTCTCATAGCTAGAGTGACCCTTTTATAAATGTAAGTCATATTATATCTTATATTTGGTCAAAAATCCATAATAGCTCTCATTTTCTGAAAAGTGAAAACCAACGTCCTTCCAAATGCCTGTAAGAACCTGTAAGAACTGTCCTTGAATTAGCTCCTTACCTAATTTCTCCTCTTGACTATACTCCTGCTACAGGGATTTCCTTCCTCTTCTTTAACACTTGAAGTGTGTTGCAACTTCAAGGCCTCTGCATTGGCTCTATTTTCTGCCTGGAGTGCTCTTTTCCCTCACTGTCACACAGCCAACTGTTGTCTTTTTTCAAATCTTTGCATGAAAGTTATCTTCTCAATGAGGATTATGGGTGCATCTCATTAGAAATTACCACCAACTCTCCTGCTTCTCCTGCCAAATGCACATCCTTTCTGACTCTCCTCTTTATTGTCCCAAGGCTCTTATCGTTACTAATATTCACTACTATATTGTTAAGAGTTGAACTGCCCACACACACACACTTCAGAATGTGATCTTATTTGGAAATAGGGTCCTTGCAGATGTAATTAGGTAAATTAGAGTGGAGTCTTCTTACTGGAGTGGGCGCAGTAGTGGAGGCTACTCTAAATGGCTCATGTTCTTATAGGAAGAGGGAAATTTGAACATGGAGACACAGGGAGAAAATCCTGTGATGATGAAGGCCCGGATTAGTTATGCACCTGAAATAACCCCCAAAGATCACTGGCTAAGCCTGAAGCTAGGAAGAGGCAAGGAAGGATCCTTCTGTGAGTGTGCATTGGAGCGCTGCCCTGTGGACACATTGATTTCAGATTTTTAGCCTTCAGAACTGTCAGACAATAATTTTCCTGTTGTTTTTCACCACCCAGCTTACGGCCCTTTGTTGAGGCAGCCTTAGGAAATGAATTCATCCATCTGTACACTATAGCTTTAGTATCCAATTCACCTCTTATTGTTCGTATTGCTTATTGTTTGCCCACCTCCTGTCCCCGACTCCCCTTCTCCCAGAAGGCAAACACAAAATAGCAGGGATCTTTCTTCATTGCTATATCCTAAAGCACCTACCAGAGTTCCTGGTCTGTAGCAGGTACTCAATACTATCCGAGCCAAGTAATCTTCACACACATTTCATCATTTAACCATTTTAGTTGTTCTTTGTGTATTTCCCAGCTGTTTGTTTTGTTTTGTTTCCATTTGGGGTTTTATTACCCACAGTCACAGGCAACATAGCCAGCAGGAATGATCTAAATAACCGCTAAAACTCAATTTCACATCTCTTCTGTAATACATATTTTAAAATCATTGTTAAAACTAATGAGGTTGACTGCTTATAATTTCATCTCTCTTTATTTCCCCCAGCCATGCTTTGTGGAGATGCTGTGAAACAGGTTATCAAGTCAGATACCAGAAGAGAATAGGAGAGTTAAGATAATCAGCTCTCAAGCAATGGAGAGTTGATTGAACATAAATTCTTTAACTCGCTAGCCAAGTCTACATAGAAGAAGTGATTATTCATAATAAACTTCCAAAACCATTATCCTCCTGGCCCCCCTTTATGACTTCTATCCACCAATCTGTTTATACTTCTCAACTTTCAGTTATTAAGAACATTCAATTACTTCTGGTTAGGGTAGATGAATTGCTTCCTTTGAGTTCAATAGTTTAAAAGCTCCAAAATTAGGTTATGTAGCTTAACTAAATTCATCTCTCAGCAAGCATAAAATCTGTGAAGTTTGACGGGTATTACACATTTACTAATGTAGGTTACTGTACCAGGATAAAATACCTCCCTATATGTTTATATTTGCACTGATAATTCCCCACTCTTCCTCCCCCACCTCACCCCCTCCCCCATACCCCGCCCCCAGCCATTAGCCACTAAAATTAAACCTTAAAATTGCCCCAGGGAAAGTGAAAATGCCTATTGTTTTTAAAAATGAGAGGTCATTCTTCGGCTTAAACTTTCTTGTTTTTGGTCTAGGGTAAGACAACAGTCTTGAATCTAAACCTTGTGAGGGGCAAAGGTTTTCAATCATAAAAGCTTCCTTTTCCAAAAGAAAATCTTGATGTTCTGAACATAGTGTTATGGTAAGCCACACTGAAGAGAAAAACAAAGATGTAGGGGACATTCTTGGTAGGCAGAAAGAAGTAGAGACCCTTAGAATAAAAAGGAGAGAAAGAGAAAGAGAAAAACAAAAGCGAACCCACATTCTTTCACTTTTTCTACCTGTTGTCATATAAAAACTTGGGGAAGACACTCATATAGCACCAGGCAGACCGGAGAAGCTAAAAGTAGAGGGGACTGTACACAGTTTCATATTGGAAAATCTAGAAAGAGACTGAAAAACAGAGTGCTTTCATAGCAACATAGGGTGAGCACAGCAGCATAGACATGACACCTTTAGTGTTTGGGCAGAGAAGGCCTCGGCCCATCTATGCTGCCTGCCTCAGTTCTTAGGGATCTATGTGAGGAGTCGAATTTCATTAGCTCCTGCAGAGTTCTTGGTCATGAATTTAAAGTGTCCCAACAGTCGCTAGACTTGGCAGGTGCAAGACCCATAGAGCAGACAAGTGTAGGCTCAGAACAAAATGGAAGGCATGGCTGAGTCTCCATGCAACCACGCCATCAATGAATTGCCAGCAGCAATGGAGGATTTGGGGGCTGGACGCTCAGCTCCTGACCTTGCTGAGAACAGCCCATACACTATACAGGTGGACATAACATGGGGACCAGGCAAGAGAATTATTCCTCAGCTGGCGGTCAATAGGAGCCGGCATAGGGCACCATGGGGACCAGCACCATTTTCAGCTTCCCCCATTTGTGTAGAGAGCATCTAGGGAAGGAGGAGGAGGGTGTGTGAAAGAAAGTCCCCATATAGAGATTTTAGATTTTCAGTAGATTAAATAACTACCAGAATTACCTATCTGCAAACCTAAAATGTTTCTTGTTTTGTTTTGTCACTTTCCTTTGGAAACAGAGGAGTCAACACAGGGGAGGGCTAAATCAGTTATAGGAACTGAAGACAGCAATGTTATTTTGCATGTATGGGCCATTTGTGAAAATATTCAATGATTTTCAGGGACTCGGTTTTTCAAAAAACTGGTTGAAATAAATAAAAAGTTTTGATTTAAAAGTTTAGTAAGATAGCATATGAGACCTCAGTACTGAAATAGCACAAAGTCTATCGATCATTCTATATCCTGACCAAAAAAAATTAACCTTTTTTCCCCTTGTGGACACTTCAAGTATTTTTAAATTATGTAATATTTGGAAACACAGATTCCATTTATACTTCACATTTCAGATTATAAAAGATGTATATGAAAACAATCCTTCTTGGGTAGTGTTAATGTGGTATAGGATTAGAAAAGATTTGAGATCTATTTTTATTTGGTAAATTAATTGTGTATTACTAGACATTTGTGGGGGCAAATGAACAATTTGATCGATTATCAATGATAGGAAATAAGTGTTTTCCCACCAAAACTGTACCCAATGCTTACAATTATAATCATGACTTGGGCATACATCTGTCATTTCTTTTTTTTTTTAATTTTTCTATTTATTTATGATAGTTACACACACACACAGAAAGAGAGAGAGAGGCAGAGACACAGGCAGAGGGAGAAGCAGGCTCCATGCACCGGGAGCCCGATGTGGGATTCGATCCCGGGTCTCCAGGATCGCGCCCTGGGCCAAAGGCAGGCGCCAAACCGCTGCGCCACCCAGGGATCCCACATCTGTCATTTCTTATGACCTGCTGATCATACTAAACGTTTTCTGCATTTTCACAGACTAAATATTAAGATGCCTTTGAATTAGAAAGGAAGAAAAATAGATAAGGTATATTCCCCACGTTTGAAATTTTTTTTTTTTAGTTTTTTATTTATTTATTTATTTATGATAGTCACAGAGAGAGAGAGAGAGAGAGGCAGAGACATAGGCAGAGGGAGAAGCAGGCTCCATGCACCGGGAGCCCGATGTGGGATTCGATCCCGGGTCTCCAGGATCGCGCCCTGGGCCAAAGGCAGGCGCCAAACCGCTGCGCCACCCAGGGATCCCCCACGTTTGAAATTAAATGATCCGCAGGAAAAATATTTTTATTTATTATAATTTTGAACAAAAAGACACTGAGTTGGTTAGATAGGACTTTTATTTTAAACAAAAATTACGATTCATTTGTTCACAAGACAAGATGAAAGTTAATATAACGACTTTTTAAAGTGAAATTATAGATTTCCTTGAGACTGACTTTATACAATTAATGAATTCATCATATTATATATATAACACATTGAAACAATCTTCCACATATTTACGAACTGACGTTCAAATCCAGAACTCAGACATAAATTAAATTTCATGTTACTAAAATTTCTTTGTTGTACATACAGAATTATTGTGACTATGTTTTAGACGATCCCAACATTTGTTGTCTCCTTGGTAAACATGAAGAATTATGACATATGAAGACACTGTATAAGGGAAATTAAATCAGCTTTGATCCCATTATTGAGAAAACCATACAGAATAGGATTAAGACAACAGGACATCATGCCTAGCAAATGACAAATGCAATACACCAATTTGAAATGTCTGTTTGAAATGAGGTTGTCATTAAAATCAGTTACCACATGGAAAAGGTGTAGTGGCATCCAGCTAACAGCAAACACTAGTATCAGTATGGTTAGTCTATAGAAAACACTTCGGGATCTCTTTTTGATTCTCATGATAGAACGGTTTACTCTCATGTCATGAACATCCGAGTTTTCTTCAGGTCTCACCTCAAAGCAGGTGGGGACCCCCGGTATGAACTTACTGGATGAAGAGAGCTGACTTCTTACAGAACCAAAGTTTTCTGGAAGCATTCTTGAATGGTTCTCTTGAGGAGGTCTTGCTGGAGCAGGTAAGACACATGCCGTCTTCTTGCTGTACCTTCTCCTGTGTTTTCTGATGAATGAATAGCTCCATTTATGGCTGCTGGAAAGTCTCACCTGAGGCCCACTCTTTTTGAATGGTTGAAGAGTTAAGTTGATCATCTCATTTTCTTCCAGTTTGTTTTCTTTGTTGGACAACCCGCAGCTTATACTCCTGCAGACACTGGTATGGCTCACAGTTAGACACACCAAGGGAAGAATATATTGGACTAGCAATAAAGAGATAGTAAAAGCAATTCTGTACGAATCAGATGGCCACGACTCAACACATAAATACCTGCTGCTCAGCAATGCGGAGTCAAATGTTTCCTGAAGTTCCACCAGACTGTGAAACACTGGAAGGGGAGAACAAATCGCAAAACCTAGTGTCCAGACAGTAGCAATCAGGAAGTAGCCATGGTTTGCTGTTAAATTATTAGATATAGGATGCTTGATCATATGATACCTGACAATGGCAATTGATATTAGAATTAAAGTTGAAACCAGAACTGACACACATTGAAGAAAAGGCATAATGTGACACATGACTTTGCCAAACATCCACTGATCCAGCAGGACAGAGGTCAGTGTAAAAGGTGAGCAAAACAGCACAACCAAAATATCAGAGAAGGCCAAATTTCCTATGAGGAAGTTTACCATCGTCTTCTGATTACGCTTTCTCATGAGAGCCATTAAAATAAGTAGATTCCCCATAAAACCGAGAAGACTTACAAATGTATAAAGTCCAATCAGAAAATACTGTAAATCATCTACACTGCTTTTATAGTCATCCCAGACCGGGAAATCAGAATTCCGAGTGGCAGCAGTATTGTTCTCTGTGGCAAGTGTCTTGTTATAAAAATCCTGGAGTTCTAAATCCATCTTAGAGTCCTGCTTGGAATAAAAAGACATTAGTTACCAACTTTTAAAAAATTACATGACTACGATAAATCAATTCTGAGAGGGAGACTACATTTTAAAATTTGTTCGCATCCCTTATTAATCTCCTAAAAAAAAAAAAAAGGTTTCATGAGGTCTTTCATTGGTTCCAAGTGCAGAACAAATATCACCTAATAACAATGACAGTAAGTCTGAGTCTATCATCATTCCTATGATGTATTAATTTTCATTAAAATCACAGATCTTGTTTTTTAAATTTATATAGATATAATGAAAGGGGAAGCATATAAGAACTTCAAGAGACCTAATTTACGATAGCTCGTTACTATTATTCATCCATTCAAGGTGCTTATTCCTGGTGTGGTCACATAATCTTATCTTAAAACATTTGCTGGTTTCCAACTTCAATCAAGGTCAAACTTAAAAGTCATCTATCCTGAAGTATTCCTGGGTCTACTCAATTGGATGCGATCTCCTCTTTGGAACCCCCATACTGCTCTGTGTATAGCCGTCTCATGCCATATGTCACAATTTGCCTTGCAATGCAATTAAAATACATAGAAGCCTACCTTATCCACTTATAAGCAATGGAAAACAGAAAATCGTTATTTATTCATCGTGGTATCTACCACAATCCATGGCCCAGTGACTTCACAATTGTAGGTGCTAAATAAATATTTATAGAAAAATGAAAAATTCAAACAAAATAAATATTTATGGGAAGAGGAAAAATTCAAGCAAATGTCTTGTATCTTAAATATTATCTAGTTCATGCAGTGTTCAAATGTAAGCTTCTCAGGTGTAGAAACACTATCCTAGGACTTCGGTGTATGCAGTAGGCACTTAACTAAGTGTTTATCAAGCTGTACTGTTGACTATGTGTGTACAATTCCAGATGGCAGTCGTTCCATGATCAATTCTTCGTCCTTTGAGATGTGCCAGATTATCATGAGTTAGGATAGCTACTGACCAGCAGTCCACTAGTGTTTTGAAAAACAAAATTTACCTATTTATTTTTTTGGCCTAAAAACTGAAACTAATTTTCCACTTTAAAAAGGTGGAATAAATTCATATTGTCTAAGGAAAATCTGTATCTTAAAATTAAATACAGAAGTAATGCTAATATCACACCCCAGTATAAGTTCTTTTCCATTTCAAACAAAATTAACAGTGTAATATTATCGATGGCACAATGGTATTCTTATTTCCTGCTACACATTAGAGATTTGACAGTATTATAAAAAAGTAGGCACTATTATTTTTTTTAACAAGAGTTTCCTATAGAATACTCGGGACAGCAATAGTTAATTAGTTCTGATGGATATACACGTTGTTACAGAGATCCTCATATAATGCAAATTTAAAAAGCATTTACACTACATTTCAATTTATATTTACGTACGTATTTCTAGGTCTATAGTTGGATAACTATAGCTAAAACTATAAAAATACATATATATTTAATTAACGGTGAATACTATTATCTTTACCTTATAAGGAACTTTTAGGTCCTGATCCAAAATATCTCCAAATAGAAAATCCTAGTGTGTACATACATTCATTATAAATAATTTTAACTTCAGGTTTATAGACAGCAGGTTTCAAATAGGATGATACAGGCATCATTGTTCTATGAGAAAACCTGAAAGTTTAAGTTTTTCAGAACTTTGACAACTGATTCTATGTTGATTAAATTACTTTCTGGTAACTAAGCACATCCCTTTAAAGATAAATTAATTCAAAAGCTCAGGATCTTATTCATTCATTCTTAGGCACTAGCCAACAATTTCCATTGATACTGCCCCAAGTTAAAAGGGGTAAACTGGTGCAGGGTCACTCTCGTGGCCTACTGAGTCAGAGAGTCATCATACTAACCTCGCAGGAACTATTCTGTGTAGATTAGCGAGCTTCTAATCAAAGTAGCTTTGACTGGCCTTTCTGCCTAATTTTCCTGGGTTCTGATAACTCCTCTGGTTCCATCGACCTTGTTCATAATCGTTTTCACATTTATAATGCGCGTAGGTCATTTGTTACTGTGATCCCGCTTAGTTCTTCTGTTGACTCGCTTTCTTGAGACAACTCTTTTTCGCTGTAGATCAGTGGCTACTGGCCGCTTTTTCTACTAGCTTGTAGAAGGAAGGGCACTACTACTTGTAAGGAAGGACAAAAGAGAAAGCGAACAGTTGGTTCTAGAACGGCTTTGTGCTTTCTTGGGACATGTAACTAGAGGATGACACGTCCTTCAAGTAAAATGTTCCTGTCTAAAATTTTTCGAAGGAAGAGGAAATGCAGTACAATTTACGGTAATAGAAACAATGTGGTTTTGAGTCTAGCATTCGGATCGACTCCAGTGTAGTGGTCAGTCTTCTCAATTAGACCCTAATGGAGACAGAGGAAAATGTTTTAATTCTTTTCATGATAGAAATGATGCCTAATGGAGTGATGGTGTACATGATGGATACTAAGTAAACACTCTTACTCATCATTTTAAAAAGCACTTTAATTTTTCCCAGCTTTAAATGAAGAGGGATGAATCATCCAGGGAATATAAGAAAATTCAGGATAGTGTATGACCATATGTATGTAAACATACGTGTATGTCTGGTTACATACACAGATATACTGGAACCACCAAAATTAGGCAGGTTTTCAAATGGCCCTACAATGAAATAAGGAGATAGATCCACTGACAATGGGGAGAGTTTAGCACTTTAAATTTTTGAATGAGGTCTCTTCAGTGACAAAGCAACATAAAGCTAAAATAGCAAAAAAATATTTACAACATATGTTTTTATTTAAATGTAAAAGAAGTACATCAGATTCCGGTGTGTCACTAAAAATTTTCTATGAAACAAGCGCAGAAAACACTGAACTCATTAAATCATAAAAACCATTGCCTTGTTAGTAAGCAGATGAAGGAAATGCCAGCCTGAGTATTCACTGGACACAGGACAAACTGAGGGCAACACTTCTTTCCCTCCCTAAAAAACACTACTTTATATATAATTTGAAAGGGGAGGCTCCTCTTATTAAGGAATAGCTAAGAGAGATTAGTTGTTCCTGCCTTTATTCATTCAACTAGCGTTTATTGAACAATTGTTGTGTGATGTGGTCTGCAAGGCTCTGCCATAAACAAAACAAATACACAGTACAAGGTACTGTGGGGGGAATTCTGAGGAGTTATTTCAAGGTTATATGATGAGTAATTACAGATTAAAAGTGCCTGAGATATAAAAGGGCCTAAATGGATGATGAATGAATGAATGAATGAATGAATGACATTCTCCTGACTGCCAGTGTTGGATTTTTTTTTCACAACAGCATGAACAATTAACACTGTTGCTCAATATCATGGATGCCTCTTTGCATCTATTGATAGATTGACAAATGATCATTTTTTCTTATGTTCTTTCCCCCCTCTCCTAACATTCATTCCCTCACTTAACATTCATTTATTCATTTGATTTTGGTGTGACTGTAGCCAACCTTGTGCTGCTCTCCCTCTAGGCCCAGTCCAACCCATCCCATCCACACACTAAAATACACATAACACTTAATATCATGCTCCACACTAAATGGCATTTTGTGACTCTTTGCTCCAACGACTTCTTACAACTAGAGCTACTGCACTGGGGCCGGGACAAGGAAGGGAATGGGCAACACAATGGCATGTAGAGTATTTGGAGCTGAAAATAATCAAGACCCAAAAGACTCAGGTAGAAGCTCTGACCTCCCCACCAAATGCCTAAGGAAGATTTAGCTAGAGGACCTGAACCAGGAAAAGAGCTACTTACAGAGATTCCTTTTTGCCTAAGGAACCCAGCTGCACAACAGAGCAACCTTCATTTTCCAAACATTTCCTCTCACCTTCCCGCTAATGGCTCTCCTCTCTTCCTCCTCTCCTTAGCTCAGGGTGACATATGTGCCTCATTTTGCCTCTCTTTGGGATTTCCATGTCTGTGTAGATCCCCTGTAGGTAGGAAGCTAAATTTGATTTTCTTCTGTTAATGTATCTCACGGAAATTTGATTCTTAGTCCAACTAGAACTTTGGGCAAAGAAAAACTTCTTCCTCCCTGACAGCAGCCAGGGGGATATTCCAAACAGGAGGAAATGTTTGTCCAATGAGATTTGTGGTTCTTTTTTTTTTTTCTAATTGAAAATCGGTTTTAATCAAAACCACTTTAAAACGAAAGGGGGGAAAAAAGCACAAAGGATTTCTTTTCTTAAATTTACCCTTTCACTTCCCTGAAAAGCACCATAAGCAAACCTGTAATGGAAATGTGGATCTGCTTAATCATGATCTGCGTTTATAACAAGTGTCATAATTCTGTGCAACACGAACACTTGATACGTAATACAAGTAATGTAATATGTGTACTTTTCTTCATCTTAGAGTGCTAGAGGAATCATGAACTGTAACCAGAAATAAACATTCAAAGATGAAATATCATATCAGAAGAGCTTTGATACCGAGTGTGAAACCTTTGCTGCGCTTACTGGTGACATTTTCTTCTTTTGTATCTAGTTTCACCTCCCGTCCCGCCATCAGAACTCCCAGGCTGCGACCTCAAATTTCAATCCTCAGGGTAAAAAGTGAAAAAATAAATAAATAAATAAACAGATAGATAAATAAATAGATAAATAAATAAATAAAAAATAAAAGTTCTTTGTCACGTTGTGACTGTCAAAAAGCAACGTCTCTGCAGGCTCGCTGGAATTTCCTGATATTGTGATCTCCCTCTAAAAATCGATCTGTAGCTGACACCAAGACAAATGAACTGTTTCGGACAGACTCCAGGCACCTTAAGTAGCTAGTTCCTGAAAGGAGTAATAGGAGGAGCTGCAAGGAATTCAAGGGACGGCGGAGACCGCTCACATTTTAAATGAGCTTTTCCTTTGTCAGGATGATTTCCTGTGTCAGGGAAATGCCCCTCTTCCCCCAGGGGACGCAATCACCTAAGAATCGCGGCGGTCTCGGTGCCCCGCAGCAAGCGCCGGATCCCAGCTCTGGCCCTGCAGCCGCGGCCCCCGCGACCGCGAGGTCTGCCCGTTCTCAAGCTGCCCCAGGACGCCGGGCACGAAGCCGGGACCCGGCACAGTCGGAGCCGGGGAGAGACTCGCGGCTTCGCTCACCGACGAGCCCCCCGCAACCCGACAGCGGAGTTGCTTTCCCCCGGAAAAATCCCGGATTTGAGACTGCGGGACCCGGCCCGAGGCGGTGCGCGGCCTCCCGCGGAAGGTCTCCGAGCTTGGGGTTCGGGGCAATCCCCGCTCCCGAGGCCGGGGCCGCGCCGGCGCCGCCAGGTCCCCCCACCCCGCCCCCCGGCCCCGCCTGCCCGCTCGGGACCCGGCGCCCGCCGCACCCGGGGAGGACCTGCCCCGCGCCCCGGACCCCGCGCCCCGGACCCCGCGCCCCGACCGCCTTCCCCAGCGCCCTCCCGGGGCCCCGCAGGCTGCAGCCCGTACCTGGGGCGCCCGGGCCGGTGCCCGCGCCTCGGCTCCCGGGGACGCGGTGGCGGCTGCGCCGGGCGGCGGCGGCTGCAGGGGGAGGGCCGGGGGGCGCGGGGGGGCGGCGGGGCGCGGCGAGGCGCCTCGGGACCACGTGACGCCGCCGGGACCCCGGGGACCCCGCTCCAGGGCGCCTGCTCCGCGCCCGCCTCCCCCGCCCGGCTCGGGGCGCGCCAGCCCGGCCAACGCGGGGGCCCGGAGCAGCCGCAGCCCCCCGCCCCGCGGCCCCGCAGCGTGCGCCCCCCGGCCCCCCGCAGCGCCCCGGCCCCCACCCTGCAGCCCCCCGCCCCGCAGCCCCCCGGCCCCCCCCTGCAGCCCCCCGCAGCCCCTCGCCCGGCGACCCCGCAGCGCCCCGGCCCCCCAGCCCCCGTGCAGCCCCCCGCAGCCCCCCGCCCGGCGGCCCCCGCGGCGCCCCTGCAGCCCCCCGCCCTCCGGCGCCCCTTCCCCCGCGCCCTCCCTCACCCCTTCCCCTTCCCAGCCGCGCCTCCAGCCTCCCCACCACCCTCTGGGCCCCCCGCAGCCCCCCCTCCCTCCCCCCCGCCCGGCCGAGGCCAAGTTAACTTGAGCAGGAGCATCTCTGCCCGCGGGGCGCCGGGCCTGGCGGACCCGAGGGGAGGGCGTGGGGGCGCCGGGGCAGCGCCTAGGGCTGGGGCTCCCCAGAACAAGCTTCAAGGCCCGGTTCTCTCTTTGTTCCGAACAAATAAATAAATAAATAAATAACCCCCCAAAGGGGCGCTGCTCCTTTGCACCTGTTTCGGCAGGAGGAAGGGCCAAGCCTGGCGCGGAGGCTGGTGCGGAGGCGGGGGGGGGGGGGGGGGCACCTGCGGAGGCCGGAGGGGGGGGCACCTGCGGGGCGGAGGGGGCGCACCTGCCGGGAGGGGGCACCTGCGGGGCGGGGGGGGGGAGCGGGGCGGGGGGACGGGGGGGGGCGCACCTGCGGGGCGGGGGCTGCGGTCCCCTGAAGGCTGGGGGTCAGGCGGGACCGAACCCGCGCTGGCACTGCTCAGAGACACAAAGACTGCCGGGGGTGGGGGGTGGGGGGGAAGGGTTGTCATAGGTTAAAAAAAAAGAAAAAACACAACCACCCCAATACCCTCCAAACATTTGGCCCTTTGTTTCTCAACGTGATTTCCATCCCCAGTGTTTCCAAATGTGTTTTGCAGGTTCGCCTTATTTTCGTTAGTCATTAGTTGGCAGGTGTTGGAGGCTTCTCTGTGTGTGTGTGTGTGTGTGTGTGTGTGTGTGTGTAGGAGGTGGGGGGGGGAGAGACAGACAGACACACACTGGAGAGTCGCAGACAGGCCCACGTGTCTGTAGCCGCGACCTTGCAGGCGACAGATTGTATTTATTGCACATTTCAAACCTGAAAACGATTATGTGCCGGCCGCAGCCACAAGTGTTTGGTGATGAGTGTGATCCAGTGGGGCCGGGGCTCCAATCTGGAGGGGACTGTCCCCCTGGGGGCAA